TTGTGGCTTGCATTTCATGACAATCTTTTAGTTGAGTCATTCCTACTTTTGCAACAACAACGACCCAGTAAAATCTCATTAGTGAGGTATGTGGAGGGTAGTGTGTACGCAGACCTTACCCCTACCCAAAGGAGTAGAGAGGCTGTTTCCGAAAGACCCTCGGCTCAAGATAACAAAAAGAGACATTATATCAGTACCGTCAATAGATACCATAGGAATAATAACAGAATCATAAAGACCAGAAAATAGATGAAAAGTAAAAGCAATAGCCACTAAATAGACCCGGCATATGAAAAACGAAAGTCTTTCCTACTTTTGCATTTTTATCTAATTGTCTTTTGATGATCATCTTATTCTGCAGGGTGGCTGACAAGGATTGGGGGGCCGACTTCAGGAAGTTGTCTGCTGGTGCTGCTCTTGTTGGTCTAACATTATGGCTTGACCACATGCAGGCAAGTTTTTTCTTTAAAAAACTTAAGTTCCATAACCATATCCTAAAGGAAGAAAACAATTTTTAAGCTCTTTAAAGCTTCGTACCCTTTATATAAAGATTCTTTTTCAGTTAGGAGATTTGTTAACTAGCTCCTCTCTGCTGGTTTTTGTTGACGAGTTCCAAAGCTAATTGCTTTATTGTAGCATTCATAAAACTTGGGTTGTTATTAGTGCGCTGATCTTATCAGCCAATACCCACAGCTATATTTGACAAACTTGACATTGACTTAATTCCTTTTTTGTTCATTGAGGGTATAAATCAAAGTCTTGTTGCATTACAGTTGTAGCTTAGCTTAATAAACTAGGAAATAATTATTTATTCATGTCCATGCTTGATTATATTTATTCTACCTTGTTTTCATTGTTTTTCTTCTTAAGATCCTTTTGATGACTTTGCCATTGTTGTCGAGGTTTCCTAAAGGTAGCCCAAAGTGAACAGAGCTGCTTGACATAATCCTACTGTTACTGCAGGATGCATCCTTGGAGGGCTTTCCTGAATCTCCAAAATCTGTCGTACTGATTACCGGTAAATCTGAATACAACAAAGTTTCTTTAAATAGTACAGTGAAGGCATACCTTTGGGAGATGGGTTCTCCATTTCTACCTTGTAAAACTCGGACTGGAATACTTGTTGCAAAAGCTCATTCCTTAAGAATGTGGTTGAAGGATTCCCCATTTTGTTTAGATCTTGAGTTGAAAGATAGACCTAGCCTTCCAGAGATGAACTCAATGCAGCTTATTGAAGGATGTTTTATTAGACGTGGTCTTGTTCCTGCTTTCGAGGACATAAATGAAAGGCTTGGGCCAGTAGGCCCCAGGAAGTTTGCGAGGCTTGCTTTGCTGTCAGATGAGAAGAGGGAGAAAGTAATTCAAGCTGACATTGAGGGGAGAAGGGAGAAGTTAGCCAAGATGAAGAACACTGCAGTCACAACGAGGAAGAATACTAAAAGCTTTAGGATGAAAAAGTTTGTCAGGGTGCCCGGTCGTGCAAAATCCAATGGCTTTGCCTGAGATATTGATGCTCGTGTCTTGTGGGGTGATTAGAAGTTCCATAAATATTGCATGACAAGTTCCAGAATATGGTCTGAGATGCATTCTTTTCTTAGGATGAACTTCTAAAGAGCTGACTGAGGAAGGAGCGTGGGAGGTGTCAGCGTCATGGCATATGCAAGTTTAATCAAGCGGAGATAACAGAACTTCAAACAATTCCAGAGCTGCAAGGAAAACTCAATTATCAAATCTAACAGAAATCATATACTAGCAGTTTTCCATTTCAGACATTTCCAGTTGCTGTTTGATTAAACAATGCCTGGAACGACTCCAGTAAGTTCCTGCTCAACTCTCTCTCCTCCTCCAACCCCCAACCCTCCAAATATAATCACAGTAATCCTCTTCAACATAGACATTTGTTTCATAATTGTATATTGCATGCACTTAGTGGCTCCTAGAATTTGAAGGTTATGGGTTCTAAACTTGCCATTGAACTCATAGCTCGTCTTAATTACTGAGTTCGCAATTAAATATTTATACATATTTAATGAATTTCCTAATTTAAATACAGGGTCTAAGCAAAAGCTACTGGGTTCGTCCGAACTCGGTAGCTAATGCTCTTGCTCTGCCTCAGCATGCACTCTAGCTCTGCTTCTCAAAGTCTTTTGCAAAATTGTGATTCACACGACTTATGCTCTTGTACCTTAAGGAATAGTTTGATTTCGCCTTTACTCGCAGAGCTACTTATACCTAGTTATCTGTGCAGTTGTTTTCATTATGAGGTTCAAGACGCGTTTTGGCCCCTAGCACTGGTTGACAACCTGATTTATCATGGCCATGAGATTCTTGTCCATGTTAAGCTGAAATGGGAGGAACTAAAGAAAGCCGAGTGCATGAGCTTGAGTCTGTGTTTGCTTGTAACTTGTAAGTTACTACCTGTCTACAGCGATTGTGCATAGACTCAGGTGTTGTCCGTGCAGAAACCTGATCATTCTCTACATGCAATAGTGGGAATGTGAAATCCTCGTGTTATCTATGTAGCTGCAGGTTATGCGTGGAGATAGAAAAGCATAAATAAATGTTAGGCATTGGGAAAAAAGCGTTATATGTGCCTTCGAAACCCAGTTTATGAATAGGTAGCCTTCTGTTTTTCGAGAGTTTTAACTAGTTTTGAGCCAAGTTTTATATATTGCTCGTATGGAAAACAGTCCTTTTATGTGCTCAAAGATAAAATCAAATCTTGAAAGGAAATGTTCATTGATCTTTCTAAATTCTTACTTTATTTTATTCTGTTTGCTATTTCGTTTCAAGGAGATGTCCTCATCTTATTGCATTCATCTTAGGGACAAATTCCATTCTTTTTTTCCTCCTCCATTTGCTTCAGCTTATGTAACAAGAAGAAAACTGGATTCGTAACGCAATGGTGTGAATAATAAAGTATCTCCCCATTTGTGTAAATTCGGAAAACTACAACTACTTACGCCTAAATCCCGAACAAGTTGGGGTCAGCTATATGAATCCACACCGACTATTTTGCTCCATTTAAGCTCATCTCAGACCAATATTACACAAACGAAAAATAAAAAACATAGTACAAGGAATTCTCTATAATTTCTACTGGTTAAACTCTGGCAAAAATAAACTCTTAGAAAGTATAAGAATTAAAGCACACTTATTAACATTGCTAAAATATATTCTCAACAATTGTTATTGCCTATATACATCCTTTCTTCCATTGTGCCCTATTTTATGAGTCTGCATTGATTGCATTGATTCTAAGAGATTTGTAAGTTTTTTTATGCAACTTTTTTTCATGTGATTTTTGGTTTATTTTATCCCCTTTTAAAACTTTCACGCATCATGGTTTCACACCTATGGACCGGTGCATTTAGAGATCGATGCAAATTATGATAGAACCATCTCAAGCAACTTTTCGTTTAATTTTAGTTGTATACTTCTTGCACTTACCGTCAAATGCGATCATTTTTAATATCCATCTTAGCATCCCATTTCTGCAACACTCATTGTGTGGAAGTGCTAAGACCATATCAACCTAAAATCATTTCATACAACATTATCGATCTTATAACTACTTTTCACTTTGATATGCATCCTTTCTATCACATAACACTCATTAACACTCCTCCATTCAAACATCTTATCTTAAATATTTAAATTGTTTGCATTTAGGCAATCCAATCCTGTCTAATCTCACTTCATCGTCGCTCTTCCTATGCCGACCAAACTTGTAATACATATGTCCAATCTTTATTCTGGCTATCCTAAAACTAATATGATCTAGAGTGCCCTCCACTTCAATCTTTTAGCTGACTCCCTCGTTGGTTTAATCAAAAAGCCAACAAATAACATATATCATGGGATCTTATAAATTAGTGCATTAATAACGAGAGTAAATAATTGCGGGCTTAATATCGATTCTGGTGTAAACCCACACAGAGAAACTCCTAATTACTGATAACTTTGAAGATAAGCCAAATCGCCATGAAAATCTAACTAGGGTTCATGAGAACAAAATTGAGAGAGAAAGAGAGCTGTAGATGTTTCTGTATATCCGAATGGCCAAAACTGTCCAAATGTGTACAAACTATACTATATATACATTGGGCCAAAATATCTTGAACCCGAAAAATATAAACCAAAAATTAACAAGACAAAAGCCTATACAATTAACTTATACACAACTGGGCCTATTTCTGTCGAGGCCCAGATGCCAAATAGCCTTCAAGTCCAACACCCCCTCAAGTTGGAGGGGGAAACCACCTCAACTTGGAGAGAAATTGATGATGAAGCCGCCCAGTTAATGGCTTGGTGAGGACATCAGCCAACTGTTTAAGAGTAGAGACATGAGACAAACAAATCAGTCTGTCACCCAACTTAGCCCGAATAAAGTGACAATCCACCTCTATGTGCTTGGTACGCTCATGAAAAATCGAATTCTTGGCAATGTAAATAGCGGCTTGATTATCACAAAACACAGAGATAGGAAGGGAAACAGGAACGTGCAAATCAGAGAAAATCCGGATTAGCCAAGTCAATTCCGCCACAACTTTACTGATAGCTCGGTATTCAGCCTCAACCGAAGAAAGGGACACAATGGGCTGCTTTTTAGACTTCCAGCTAATTAAACTATCACCAAAAAAAATACAAAACCCAGTGACAGAGCGTCTGGTATCAACACAAGCAGCCCAATCACTATCCCTGTAGGCAGTCACTTGGAGAGCAGGAGAATTGGAGTAGAATAAGCCAACATCAAAAGTACCCTTAAGATACCTCAAAATGTGTAAAGCAGCAGACATATGAGGAGGCCGAGGACACTTTAAAAACTGGCAAAGATGCTGGACTGCAAAGCAAATATCAGGTCGAGTGTGTGTGAGAAACAACAACTTACCAATCAAAGACCTATAAGTCTCAGGGTTGTCCAAAATATCACCAGAATCAGCCGACAATTTATTATGAAGTTTGAGGGGGCACACCACAGAAGAAACATCTGAACAATGGTATGCTGATAACAAATCAGAAACAAACTTTTTTTGATTCAAAAGAACACCAGAGGAAAAATAAGAAACCTCAATGCCCAAAAAGTAGTGCAAAGTACCCAGATCTTTGATTCTGAACTGAGTATCTAAAAATTATTTCAAATCAAGAATATTAGTTGCATTATCCCCTGTTAGTATTATATCATCAACATAAACGGCTAATATAGTCAAAGAACCAGGGGAACCCTTAACAAAAAAGAGAATAATCATTTACAGAGGGAGAGAAACCCTTAGAACATAAGGCTTGAGATAACTTGGCATACCACTGTCTTGATGCCTGCCGAAGACCATAAAGAGACTTCTGTAATTTGCACACTAGAGGAGTAGAAGAAGAACAACCATAAACCGAAAGACCATGAGGTAATTTCATATAGACTTCCTCATCTAAATCACCATGGAGGAAAGCATTATTAACATCTAATTGAAACAAGGGCCATTGTCTTTTAACAGCAACTGCTATTAAACATTTTATGGTGGACAACTTCACAACAGGGGAAAAAGTCTCATTAAAATCAACACATTCCATTTGTGTATCACCCCTAATTATAAGTCTGGCCTTATACCTCTCCACACTACCATCAGCATTGTATTTCACCTTATAAACCCATTTACATCCAATAGGTTTCTTGCCTTTAGGTAACTCTACAATATCCCAAGTGTGATTAGTTTCTAAAGCCTCAAACTCCTTTCTCATGGTATCCTGCCAAGCTGGAATAGAGGCTGCCTGAGAATAGGTACTAGGTTCAAATTCAGCATGCTTAAGAATAGAAGTGGAATAAGAAAGAGATGAAGGAAAAGTACATTGATAGTCTTTCAAATATGCAGGAGGATTATGATCCCTAGTAGACTTCCTCAGAGATAAAGGGGAAGCAAACTGAATATGAGCACTAGCAGGAGAAGGCAAAGAAGGTGGAGTAGAAGATGGCATAGGAGAACTGACAGCAGGACTCAAGGAAAAGGAAGCAGGGGACTGAATAGGAGAACTGGCAGGAGAAAGTGGAGAGGGACCATGAAGAAAAATAGGATCAGTAGCAGTAGGTGGAGGGGAAGAGGCAAAGGAAGGATTAGAAGCCAACACAGAAGGTGTAGATGGAGAAGGAGAGGAAACAGTAGCATTAGGTGACTTGGAAAAAGGGAAATAATTTTCATGGAATACTACAACCCTTGAAACAAAACACTTCTTAGTGGCCAGGTTGTATAACTTGTATCATTTCTTGGCAAAAGGATATCCAAGATAAGTACAAGGAATAGCCCTTGGTTTAAATTTATCTCTGTGAGGTATAGGGACTGTGGCATAACATAAACAACTAAAAGATCGCAAATGAGAGTAAATGGGCACCTTACCATACAACATTTCAAAAGGGAATTTATCATTTAAAAGTTTAGAGGGTAATCGGTTAATGATATAAGTGGTTGTTAACAAGCAATCACCCCAAAAGTGCATAGGTGCTTTGGACTGGAACATTAATGCTCTAGAAGCTTCAAGAAGGGATCTATGTTTTTTTTCAACCACCCCATTTTGTTGAGGGGTGTAGGGGCAACTTGTTTGATGTATGATTCCATGTTCTGAAAAAAATAATGATGCAAAGGAACTAGACCCCAACTCTAGAGCATTATCACTTCTAATTGTTTGAATTGTAGTGTGAAAATGAGTTTTGACCATTGCAACAAAAGCTTTTATTAAGGAAAAGGCATTACTTTTGGATCCCATGAGGTGTGTCCAAGTGGCTCGTGTATAATCATTGATAATAGTAAGGAAGTATCTAGCCCCAGAATAAGTTGCAGTATGGTAAGGACCCCAAGTATCAATGTGAATGAGTTGAAAAGGTGAGTTGGTACTTATAGTACTATCTGAAAAAGGCAACCTAGTTTGCCTGGACATAGGACAAACATTACAAATGAAAGACTGTTTGGATGACAAAGAATCAGACAAACCAGAAATGAGTTTCATTATAACAAATGGAACATGTGCAAGCCTTTGATGCCAAACCACATCCAGTTTATTCATGTTAGTAGTACTACAATTAAAAGGAATATCACACACATCAGGCAGAATAGAACCAGAATTACAAGTAGAAGAAAGAACACAAGATGAAACAACATTAGTCATGGGAGAAGCAGGATGAACACAAGATGAGATAATATTATTTATGGAATCTAAATTGGTGAAAAGCTGAGAATGAGAGGAAGTAACTCCTCAGAACAAATTGAAATCACCGAAAAATGTCAAATTAAACCATCGCAGAACAGCAAATCATCGGAAACTACTGTAAAATAGAGAGGCGACACGGAACTGACGAAATCGAAGATGAAGAGAACTTGGACAAAACTTTGTGAGGGTAATATTGGATGAAAGCGGAGGACCAGAGCTATAAGAATCTGTGCTTTGATACCATGATAACTTTGAAGATAAGCCAAATCGCCATGAAAATCTAACTAGGGTTCATGAGAACAAAATTGAGAGAGAAAGAGAGCTGTAGATATTTCTGTATATCGGAATGGCCAAAACTGTCCAAATATGTACAAACTATATTATATATATATTGGGCCAAAATGTCTTGAACCCAAAAAATATAAACCAAAAATTAACAAGACAAAAGCCTATACAATTAACTTATACACAACTGGGCCTATTTCTGCCGAGGCCCAGATGCGAAATAGCCTTCAAGTCCAACAATTACTTCCTACCGTGGTTCTTAGACAAATAATGGCTC